CAGAAACAACATGATGCTGCTATTATTAAGAAGCGTAAACTTCGTTCTCTTTCGGATGCTGTGACTAGCAATGGAAATAGAAGTCATCAGAATCTTAGTAGTGACAGCGATAGTAAGGAGACAGAAAGTGTGAGCAGTCCACCTATAGTGACTAGTCGATCAACTTCATCGAACGAGCCTCCTAGTGTTTTGACGTCATCGGACCTTGCCGCGAATGTTAAGTTGATTGAGGATACACAAGGTTGTGTAACTATAAGTGTTCCTACTTCGGTTGACTGTCAGTCAAGTGATGATGAGAAGGAAGTGTCTGATGTTAACAGCCAGTCTACAGTGTTGCATGATAACGATGCTATTGATGTGCATATGTCTTGTGTCTCTGAAACGGAACATGAAGAACAACAAGTGAGTTTATCGGTTTCGAACTGTGACACGAATGCTGTTCTTTCATGTAGAGAGATGAGTTATACAACAATGGAAGAGTTTCACTCTACGGATGCTAGTGCAGACCGAATCGACGCGACCTGTCTGACACAATGGAATGATGATGACGATGATAATAATCTGGATGTCACTGATGTGACAAATGAGTTACCGACGATGACGAATGCTGATCAAACCTCCTCTGTATCAGGAGATGGAGAGTTGAATATTGTTCCTATGTTATGCCACTTAAAGTCTTCGAGAGACGAAGAGATGTCAAAATTGGAGATCCCACCCTTGCATATTATCTATGGGTCAAGAACTACTGTTGATAAGTCAGCATCACGGACTTCATTGTATATGCCGATCGGAGCAAGTGGTGGTGGATTGACGACTTATCCCCATGATATGGAATGTAGATCCCGGATAGGATATGACCAGCTTTACGACGTGTTGTACATGTTCATGTGGGTTAATTGGATAAGGTTTATACTACCGTTAGGTCATGCTACGATAGACAGGGAATCAAGGGCCTGATGGGAAGGTACAGGTACCTAGTTAGCTTGATAGGTCATATCCATGTTGGAGGGCGGGTAGGCGTACTGTTGTAAGTTCTACTCGTTCTTCCGGTGTGGATTAGGCGATGAGAGGGAACCCTAACTTGAAGTTAACGCTTGCTTTTTTGCATGGAGGGATTTGGCGGGCCGGTGTAGAATCCTTTATGAATGTTTTGTTTTTTGGAAAATCCCTCCATGTTTATATATTCTTGTTATGATATGACTGACTCTTTCTGTTGACATTTTGGTATTTTATTTGATTCCATTTTGAGATTTTATTATTGTATATTGTTATTATTTCTATATTTTGTACTTATATTGAAGTTTTTATGTTTGCTTCTGAACTGTACACGTGTTGTTTAAATTTGAAATATAATATGGCTACAGCCATATTTTGGATTCGATATCGTCGCAGTATACTAGCTTCACCTAATCTTTTGAACTCGGATACTGATCAGAGTAATTTCGACTTGGAAGGCGTAATAATTGTCACGTAAATGTTTGTATTTCCATTTCTTTTATATAAATAGACCACTTTCTCCTAGAATTATTGTGTTTTGATATTCGACTAAGGGAAGGTGCGTTCGACATACGTCTATTGGAATCGAATTGAACTGCTACGATAGAAAATTCAGCTCGATCCAGATATATCCAATGTTTGACAAAAGATAAAATGAATAACTTTGGACCCAAAATGTCCAGACGTATCCAATGTTTGACAACAGAATAAAATTGAAGAACTTTTGTTACGTCCAAGTTTTGCTCCTTCCCGTTATTGAAGTATAGTATGTCGATCTATTTGCAATTCACGAACCCAAATTAACAACAGAACCAAAACTCCAAAGTTAGGTACCAATGTTTATTCGTAATTCACAAATAGTCGACCAAAATGTCGTTCGTCAATTTACAAATAGTCGACCAGTGTCGTTCTAAGAACAATAATTATAATAACTACAAATACCTTCAATTTTATAGGTTCCTGGAGCAAAAACTCCAAATGACCAAACCAAGACAAACAGAAGTCAAAATGGCCGAAGTTCATAAGTTCATAAGTTAAGTAAAACAAATATACCCAAAACACAGTGAAATAAATGATATTTATATAAAGGTTTTAACCAGTCAAATGTCTTCATTTCTCCCGTAACCAATAAAGAGACCCATTCTGTTGAAATTGTGTTATGTATTACTAAGAAATCGTTTAATATGCGTCCAGAAAAGTATAAGTGAATTTAGGGGTATACTAGAAATGGCGCTATATCCGTAATGCGAATGAAATGCCTTGTATTGAGGAAGGAGATTGCCGTTATTTCTAAACATCAACTTGTACTTGCGTAACGGTAATTTTCATTCAGTAATTCAAACCAGAACCAAAAGACGTTGAACGGAGTCTCGCCTGCAAAATTATTGATATGCATCATTATACTGACCAGGTAATCATAACAGACACCTGAGTGATTTAACTGGACAGATATGAAGCCTTATGACAATTTCGAAGAGTCAACTTTAGAAGATGCACGCACAATCATTGAAGTGAGGAATGTCAACTATAATCTCAGGCACTGAATATCATGCTAGGAAATGGGGGGTAATCCTACCTGGGTTCTGTTTTTCTTCTTGTCTTCCTACTTGTATCAACAATAATTTTGGACATGAAGATTCATTGATCAGACGCATAATGCGCTCATAATAACTATCAAACACCTGAAAATGTACTAAAAGAACAAGAATCGTGCGCAAAAAAATCAAATAGTTCATACTAGCTCGTGAAAAAGATATTGAATATTGCAATCATTTTAAGCAGCGGTGTTTCTGGTTGTTGCGCTACTTTCGAAAGTGGTCTAACTGAAAGTTATCTCGTTTTATTTGTTTGAGACTAATTACATATATACTTTGAGCTTCTGTTTCTGTCAAATATTTATGTAGTTTGTGTTTCATGTCATTCTATTCCATTCTATTCAATCTTCTATTTCATGTCTGGTGGTCATCCAATTTATATTTATTACATTATTCTTTTAGATCTCTGTCATTCCACACTCTGTCTTGGTGTTATTTCGCAGTATCTCGAGTATTTAAAGTCATTGATAACGTTCTTGTATTCTTCTATTTGAACTTGTATTCATTCTAAAGTCAACTTCACGTGCTAACTGCATATTTCTGTTTATTTACTTTGGCCTTCCCAATCTACTTGTTTTGAGCAACACTCAGTTTGGAGTAAATGAAAAAAATGTTATGTCAACTATATCTACTCACAACTCTTCACGATGCATATAATGCTCGGGTTCGCAAGTAGCTTCTCATATTTACGAACCTTGAGATGTAATACAGATTCGTTAATTTATGGTCCCGTTCGTTGACTGATACCTCCCAGTTATCATCATAGTCTTATTCAACAACTTTTTGACCCATTTAGAGCAACACAACTCTGACAATTTACTCGAGTCACCAATTCCCGGTCTTATGATTTATTGAATTTGTATGCCTTGTCCATCACTATGTGGTGGATTTATGCCTGGTGCCAACTCTGACTCTGTCCTCAGTTTCTAGATCTTTACCTGATTCCCTTATTAATTTGTCTTCAATGTCTTAGTACGCTTACTGTCATATGGGAAAGAGTGACCATTAATAGATGGGTTGATCTTGTTGTTTCCAACATATGTAGTGATTGATTATATTAGTTTAGTCAACGGTCTGATATAACCTTAACTAAAAACACCTGCAAAGAGACCAAATAATCAGCTATATATTGTCATCATCTCAAAGACTGCAGGCTAAAACGTCTTCTGAATTACTGCTCTGATGTTTTCACTAACTAGGTTTAACATGTCATTTGTCGAGTTATTTAGTGACCAACCCTTTAAGAATTTACTAACAAGAGATTACATTTTTTATTCAAATTAAAAATGGGGTCTTAAAGGTTTATTCTTGCTTTCTTCGTTATATAAACCCAGTGTTTTCTGGTTCCAAAGTCAGTAATCTCTTTGTGAGTTACTGCAAATAGCAATAATGATAAGTCGATAGTCATAGCAGTTAATCTCTTCATAACGACCTGGTTCTATTTCAAAAACCTACTTGTTTGTTTATCTCGATTGATTCTTACTGATTTCTCTATCTGTTCGTTAAGAATTGCATACGAATTCCGGTGTTTATCGTCTTGATTACTAACTGGTTCGTAGAATATGCTTGTTTATGATGCGCAAAATGTCATACTTTTCCTTTTTTGAATATGCCTTAATCTTAGATGTGGTTCAATGGAACACAGCCTAAAACGCATATCGAAGAAGCTAATCGTCACCTCAACGCATTGACAAGTAAGATCCAGGAATTGGAGATGAAACTAAAAACCAAGGAAGAAGAGTTAACCAAAAAAGAAGAAGACTTCAACACAGTTATGCAGGTATTATGGTTCAACACAACTCATCTAGATGAATTTTTATGCTTATTTTTTGGTCATTCAGTAGTAATTAGTAACATTGCAGTCAGGTACTATAACTCGCTGACCAAGTACAGTTCATGACAATCGAATTTTTTGTAACATCGAATTATTACCTATCTGTCCATACTGAATCAGGTGGAGTAAGGTTTACGCCTTAGATTTACTTGATGAAATTTACCAGTGACCGAATTATTTATATAGGAGTCATATTTAACACAGCTTTTCCAGTATTAATATTTGCAACAAAATGTTTACTTAGGGCTTGAGTTTGTGAATCAAACTATACGTCCCCAATGTTGTCGTTGGGCCTTAAATAACTGCCACCAGACAACCTACATTATTAGTGATCCAAAGAGTTAGTCACTGAAGCTATAATACCTTAATAATGAAACCATATGCCGAATAAGATTTACGATAGGAATATATACTTAACAGTATAGTAGGTGGTGTATGATGGGTATTTCTGAAGGTTATTAACAAGAAAAAAATTTTTGTTCAGATTATCATTTGATGATTTCTTGAGAATTCATTGTAGTTCGATTTCACAGCTTCTAATACAGTCAGGCAGCTCGACATAGGCTGCTGTTCTGACTAAGTAGTCCAGCTTGCCTATTGGGGTGATATAACCGAGCTACACTGGCTGGAACACGTTCCTTTTGGTCCTACCGTGCAAGACAGGTCGATTGGAGGACGGTACGACTAAAACAACAACTGAGGGCAGAGAATTGTGACAGCAGTACAGTGTTTACCTTGGACAACTGACTCTCAGGTCACTCTCCTGGGTCCCTAAAACCAACTAACTCAACCTCTTTTCCAGGTGTCTTAGGCAGAAGTTATAGGGAGTGAAGTAGTTGAGCGTGTGGACTGTTTCACTTATTTTGGGAGTCTCATGAATGCTGATAGCCTGGCGTGTGACGAAATCTCAGCCCGGATACAGAAGGCTCGATTGACTTTTAACAACTTGCGTCATTTATGTCATAGGCGAGATGTCCGTCTGCTAAACAAAGGACGAGTCTACTTCTCAGCAGTTCACTCCGCCCCACCCTATGGGTGTGAAACATGGCTAGTGAGAATAGAGGATATTCGTAGGTTACTGGTTTTCGATCATGGGTGTCTTCGAAACATTGCTCGTATATCCAAGGACAATCGAGCAAGCAATGCTGTTGTCAGGAAACGAGTACTAGGTAAGAATGGCAGATCAGCAGGTGAAATATTGAAACGTCATCATGTTGAGGTGGTTGAGATATGTGTTACGTATGCCCAACCACCGACAATTTCGACCCGAAATGTTTTGTGGTGTAGGGGTAGGCCGGAAGGAAGCTAGTGGAAAGACAGACCAATCCATGAAGTCATTGACAAGTGAACTGAACCATCTCGGTAATTGTAGACTACCAGTTTGGGGTCTGCCAGACAATAGTAACCGATGGCTAGTGACCTTGTACAACATGGCTCGAGTCCTAATCTTTTGAATTTCTCACCACGTATGTATATTGATTACTCATAATATTTCTTGCTTGCTATGTGGATACTTTGTAATGGCGCAGATGCATCCATTCTTTGTGTTCTCTGAAATTCTAATCTTCTGAATTCCTCATCATCTCTATCTTTCTCTTTCTAAAGTTATCTCACTGAATTATACTTCTGGAATATCTTCGAACCCTAATCTTCTCCATTACCGCTAATACTTCTACTATCTATACCACTATGGGATTTCAATTGACAGTTGCATCTCTGTGCTAATGCTGCATGGCTACCTGAACTGATGTACGCACGTACAAAGTTCTACGTTGTAACTGATTAATTGACTGACCTCACCACCCTTGTTTTTCTCTTTTTAAGTTCATTTTACTAGATTATACTACTTGGATAATATCTTCGAACCCTAATCTCTCCATTAACTGATAATATTTCTATTACCTATACTACTATGCGATTCGAATTGACAATTCGATCTCTGTGCTAGTGTGGTACAAAGTTCTACGTTGTAGCTGACTGAATGACAGTGTGGGCAGCTGGGAAGTGAAAATCGCCGTTACACCCTTAACAGCACACGACATCTTTTTGTTCGCAATGAAATGCTTCCTTCACCTTCTAATAGCCGTTGTCTCCACGACTAACCCTTTTCACATTCCTTTATCAGTTCACGTTACTGATGCTAACGATTCGAGTGTGTGAAATGTTATTCCTGGTCCCTTGGAACCCCGTTATGAACTGAATGTTGGAGCTTTTAATGTGAGAAGCCTGTGACAAATAGGACAACAGGCTTCCTGAGCAAAGACTGTAGAATCTCGTGCCATGGATATATGCCGTGTCTCCACAGCGCGTATACGATATCCGAGTATGGTCAATCATTTGATCATCCTTGTGGAAGTAGATAAGCGTCGCGATCTAGGCGTCATGTATCTGGAGACCTCATTTTTGCTACTCATGGCCTCGCTAATTTAGGTATAGCATTAAGTTCCAGTAGACAGTTGCTTGTGTGTCGTTAAACTAAATGAGACAGTAAGAATTCAAAAAGATAGGTATACTTGTCGTTGTGATAGGCTAGTAGAACAACTGCTTAAACAAAGTTATTTAAAAAACATCTTGAAGTCATGTGGCACGAAACCCCAATGGGTTTCGATTGAAATAAAAAAAACCCAGGTCTTTTGCAATCTTTTCATCAACAATCAATTAGTTTGCCACTTAGCAGTATTTTTATCCAGAACCATCATATATATACGTTCCTAAACAGCAATCTTTCGTAGTATAAAGCTTACCTTTTACCTGTTAGTTACTACTTGAGTACTTAACCATTCTGTTTAATCTTAGGAAGTACATGTAAAACGTGAAACTGAAGTAAACAATCTGAATGAATTAATCTTTAAGCAAAATGTAAAGCTTCAACGTTTAGAACGTGATCTGCTCAATCGGGATTCAGAACTTAGCGTTTTACGTAAACGTTGTCGTATGTTTGATGAAGTACTTAGATACAAAGCAACATTAGCGAAACTGACTATTACAATGGAGCAAGCTGAACAGTATGCGAATTTAACGGCCAAAAGTTATCCAATCAATGCTAATAGTAACGGCATAAAGAGTAATTTTGACGTTATCAATACAGACCCAAGTCCACTTATGATACGAGATATTGGTTTTAGCACCGATAAAACAGAAACCGATGGTCTAATTGAAGAAGTTGGCAAAACACTCATTCAATCTGAAGGTCAACGAACTAAAACCTTGGCTCATATTGTTAGTAATGGTCAGTTGTAACTATCTTTTCTACGTATATACTTGTTTGTCTTTCTTACACTATTTTATATTCTCTGTTATTGTCCCTTTATAATTAACTCTAAAACCCCACTTATATCCTGTTTTGTTTTTTAAACATTTTTTATCACTGTGATTTAATTTAGTTTGCATATAAACTATTCAGTTGATGCACTCTTACCTTAACTAAAACTTTATATTTACTTGGATCAAACTGTGATATTTTTCATAACATTTAACTTGTAATTTAATAATGACTGGTACAATTATTAAAGATAAGCGAAGATCTAGGGAAATCATCAATTTAAAACTACATGTTGATTATCATTGTAAAAATATTGGGTTGACGTTTTATAAATGAGTGATAAAAAATAATATGTATTACTGTTATTGATGCAGACTAATTTTTCCTTTAAATTGTGGTAAATTACTTGTAGTTTGTTGTCAACATATAACTAGTAAGACAGTTTAATTTCTGTCATTTATCAGTTCTTAGTTGAACGACAAGCACTGTTCCAATAAATAACAGTAGGATATATGATAATTCACGTTGTTGATATTGGTTGAATTTTTTCCGCTCAGTTGAGAGTATACACTATTTCACTCAACAAGTACGAAATAAGAATGTGTGAGACGTTTTTTAAGGATTGAGACTTTCTTTACTACAAATATGCTTTAGGAACTCGCATAAACTTAACTCTTACACAACGGATATAACTGGATAATCGAAATTTTACTCAGTATGTAAAAATCTTGGCTGGCTGAATATAGGGTAGCTACAAATTAGTTCTAATCTAGAATATTATTTCGCACATTTTATTGTATGTATTATCAGCAGCTAACTCTCCCATGATTGCCAATGGACCACTTGAGATTATGCCCTACTGAATGTCTTCCTAATGAACCTTAGATATCTCCTTCCTGTAGGAATCGTTTACTGTCGAACTTGAGAAAAGCTACTGAACTAAAATAAAAGTCCCCGACATTGTAAAAGGAAAAATGAAGAATCTATTCATTCGTCCAGGCTTCAGGAAGAAAGATAGGCTAAATGACATTATTCAAGTTATAAATAAGAGTGGATCTGCTCATAACATTTTGCTATCAGTCAGCTGCATAAGATTTAGGAAAGTGTGACAAGTCTTGACACATAAAATGAATATCGTCTAAATGTTATTCAGAACTTTGAATTATATTCTAATGCGTAAATGTAATTCAAAATCAACAATAATCGTAAAATGAAGTGAACTGATTTACATTCATAGCTTAGCATCTGCTTCGAAGAGGCTAAAAATACAACTATTATTAAAATTAATACTCAAGCAGACGATATTTTTGAAATGGAAACAATAATTGAAATACAAACCAAAAAGTAAGTTTTTAGCATATGTTAATTTCAAGGGTACATAAGTGGTAAATGGAGTTAAAAAACATTAATAATGATAATAATGCTAATAATGTAAGCAATCATCCAGTGCCTCTTACTGCTCCCTCCCTCCACTGAAATCTGGTTTATTCTCTCCCACAGTAGGTTATTGTTGATCATGTGTAGCCAGTGTATCCTGAGTACTTTGCATAGACAACTGTTAATAAACACTTGTATCTTATGGATGATAGCTTTGGTAGTTTTCCCGACCGTAGCTGCTACCTTGACGTGGCGGTCGGGCTTGACTATCGTGATGACCCAGCCGAGCTATTTTGGCTGGAACATATGTTCCTGAAGGTTCTACCATGCCAGGCAGGTCGATTGGAGAACGATGAGACTAAAAGCAGCTACTCAGCGTCTGAGGGCGAAGTCGTACTGCTGACTGTGATGGAGGGGTGTGACAGCAGTAAGGTGTTTCCATCGGACAACCAGCATCTGCAGCGATGCTGCCTTCTCACAAGGAAGGAAGGGCTAGAAAAAGTCGACCCTAAAAATGTCACACCTCACCCTACCTCACGGATTTCCGTCTCCGGCGGTAAGGGTGTTCATTAAGGGCTTTAAAAAGAGTGGAGCTAATACTCAAAAAACCATAAAAAGGCCGTGCGTGACCGGCCTCCAGCAGTTGTCCCTTGGGCTCTGCGGTCACACACCCAGGTCGTTCAGACCAACGCTAATATACCTTCCTTTTTAGGTTCCTCTAGAAACAACCTTCCATGGTGTGGGCACCCGGGAAGTGACAACCGCCCTCATACCCGTAACAGCACACGAGACCAAATTGGTCACAAAAAATCCTTCCTACACCCCCCAACATCTACCTTATCTCCACGACTAACTTTTCTCACATTCCTTTATCACGCTGCACCGCCAATGCAAACGATGCGAGTTCACGAAAAGTTGTTCTTGGTCTCCATTTCTGCCAATACGTCTACTCTCGCTATCAATCTTGGATTTGAATTGACAGATGCGTCTCTGTACTGATGTGGTATGGCAACCTGAACTGATGTACCTACGTACGAAGTTCTGCGGTGTATCTGTCTGTCTTGGTAGTTTTCCAAGTTTCCGCTCCATATAGTAAAATTGTCTTGACATTTGTACTGGACACTGTGACTTTGGTGTTGGTTGATAGTTATTTTGAGTTTCAGACGTTCTTCAATAGTGGAAATGCAGCCCCAGCTTTGCAAATCAGCGCCTTCATATCTGCATCAGGTTCACCTTGCACATCAATGATGCTGCCCAGCTATGTAAAGGTTTCTGCATCCTTCAAATCTCCGTCAATTGTGATTTCGTTGGTGTATGTTGTGTTGTATCAGATCCTAATTTTGCCCTTGTGTATGTTCAGACCTACTGCTAAACTTGTCATCTTCTCCTGCATTTGTTGTTACGTGTAAGATGGAGGGGCTAGAACATCTGCGAAATCCAAATCGTCCAGCTGCGTCCTAGCTGTCCATTGGATACCATGCTTCCCCTCAGATGTTGACTTCTTCATAATCCAATCGACCATCAAGAGAAAGGGTGAACGTAAGCAACCCAGTCTAACATAGATCTTCACTTGGAATGAGTCTATGATTTGTCCTCTATGCATCATTTTGCTGTTAAGTCCACCGTAAGAATTCCGTACGATGTTAACTATCTTCTCAGGCACGCTGCATTATCGAAGAATCCTCCATAGTGTCGTCCTGTGAGCACTTTTTGGCGAGTTGGTATTTTCTGGGATGGAGTCGCCAACCTCGAGCCCAACCTCGTCTTTTGCCCGGGCTTGGAACCGGCGGAAGCACTGAAGGTCTACAGGCGTGGTTGAATTTTGTAGAGTTACAACAGTTATCATTATTAAAGCAGTAGTCACTAACATTTGCTTATTCCATATCTAATGGTCAAACACGTTTGCGATAAAGGTCGTCAACTGAATCTTTTATTTGGTTCAGCAACACTCTAATGAAGAATTTTCTTGGTATTGAGAGAAGAGTGTTGCTTCTGTAGTTCTCACACTTACTGAGGTCATTCTTTGGTATCGTGATGAGGCGTCCTTCATTCCAGTCTGCTGTTACTTGTGCTTCTTCCCAAATCTAGATGAAGAGAGCGCGCAATATCCTTGTAGTTACTGTGCCTCAGCTAAAATGTTGTCCGATCCTGCTGCTTTACCACTCTTTATTTGTCTGATGGCCATGCTGATCTCCTCAATTATTGGTGGGTCAACGTTAATTGGGAGGTCGGTGGGAGCTGCTTTGATGTTGGGTGGGTTGAGTGGGGCTGGTCGATTCTTACAAAGTGCTCCACCCATCTGTTTCGCTGTTTTCAATGTCGGTGAGTATTCTGTCTTCTTCGCTTTTCACTGATCGTTCTGGTTTACTATATTTTCCAGCAAGCTTCTTCGTTGTATCATATAGTTATCTCAGTCAATGAAGTCACTGACAACTGAACTGAGTCATGCTGGCTAGTGCAGACTACCTGGTTGCGGTCCGCGAGATGATAGAGATGGATGGTTAGAGACCTTGAATGAAATAGCTCGAGAATGTTTTCAATGTTGCAGATGCATCCCTTCTCTGTGTTCTCTCAAATCCTAATCTTTTGAATTCCTCACCACCCGTATTTTTCTCTTTTTAAGTTCATTCTACTAGATTATACTATATGAATAATAGCTTCGATCCCTGATCTATCCAATCATTTCTAATACTTCTACTATCTTTGCTTGTATGAGATTCGAATCGACAATTCGATCTCTTTGCAAATGTGGGATGGTGACGTTAGCTGATGTACTTGCGTACGAAGTTCTACGTTGTAACTAATTAACCGACTGATAGTTGTCTTATACTTCCTTCTGTTACAGCTTCTTATACTGTTATGGCTATATCTTCCACATATTTGCGTTTGTAATCTCTGATGCTCCTCCTCACTTGCTTGTTAGCTTCTGTGTATTCAACTTGTGCTTTGGCGTCCTCTGCTCTTATTCAGGTGGTGTTGGTTTCTGCTTTTTTGTTCTTCTTGTGCCCCAGAACCTCATGACATGTTGAAGTGAGTGCCTCCTTGATCCCATTTTAATTGTTCTCCGTGTTTCCTCTACGTAGATTAGATCGTTCAAGGCCTGGGACCTATTCTTGTTTTTTTTTTTTTTTTTTTTTTAAAACAGAAGACACAGGGAGAAACGGGAATATCTCGCCTTCTTAACCTAATAATCAGGCTTTTGTTTTGTGGCATGCAGACAGAGAGGCACCCGTGTAAAGTGTTGGTCCATTATTGTGGTCTACAGCATTCTTCTCTTTTATACTGGTATGGTCTAACATCGTGACATAATGATTTGAGTTGGTAATATCGGATGCTCACTGACCAACTGGAGTGTTTAGATTCCATGGGGGTATGCAAATGTGAGGTGGAGGACATTGCGGTCACGCATGATGTCTGATTAAGGTCACGTGTGGTGTGCGTTTCATGCATTATCTTTTGTGCTTCCTCCTCTCTGAAAACAGTAATCCCATGACTTCTTGTGCCCCCAGCACCATCACCGCCCACATTCCTTCGAACCCTCTATGACATGTCGCTAAATGTCCGCTACACTCTTCTAGTCGTTGAAGTTTGCCCTCCCTTGATCCCATTTTATCTTGCTGAAGGGCTATCTTGAATTAGTTTAGTTTGCCAGTTCACCAAAGAAAGACCGTATTAATCTTTTGTGATGCTGTTCGTCCAGCGCTTCTTTAATTTCAGTTTCATATTAGCTATTATAAAGTGATGATCTAAAGCCATGTCAGCTCCTATTTTTGTATCTACGTCCTACATGGTCCTTCTTAAATTTTGATTGATTCAAGTATGGTCGATTTACTTCTGAGTCGGGTGATCCGCTGAAATCCATCTGGTTTTTTGTGGGAATATGGTGCCACCCATGAATAGTTTGTTGAAGGTACATAGGTTTGCAAATATCTCATCATTTTCGTTTCTTTCTCCCACTTCACGTCGTTCCGTGATGTCTACACACCGGGTAT